AAAAAAAAAAAAAAAAGAAAGAAAGAAAAAAAGAAATAAAAGAAAAAAGAAGAAAAAGAAAGAAAGAAAGAAAAACCTAGAAGAACCTTCCCCAATTCCAAAAGACGGAAACTTGGTGAGACTGAGTCGGCTTAGGAACTCTTGGCGACAAGCGCTCCTGACACAAATGAGGGCCAGCTGGAGACTCCCGGAAAAGGTAAAAACCACACGAACTTAAATTTCATCAATGAAAGAGGCGGACCTACAGCGACTATTTCACCGCCCCCCAGTCCCCACGCCCTCCGAGGCTGGACGGCAGGAGGCACTGGGAGGCCGCACCCCTAGCTGCCCCCTCCCCGGCGCCCAGTCCAGCCCCCAGCCGCTTCCCCGGAAAACCCCGGTCAACAGCGGCTCCCACTCAAGCAGGGGTTGGGGAGGCGGACGAGGCCGGCAAGCGGGGACAGTGCAACCATTTTCATCAGCCATAAATATTCTGGGACTAGGAGGCGCTACCAATTCCAAGCTCCAGCGGGCCGACTGGTCGGGGCCTCAGCTCCCCGCCTTCCCGCCGCGAGCAGCGAAACCCGGCCGCAGCTTCTTCTCGGAAAAGGGCAAAGGCTATGCTGCCCCTCCCCCGCAGCGGACACTAAGGGGTCACCGGCGAGGGGTACACCCGTGCACCGGCCCGGAGGTCCCAAGGGAGGGCCCCGACCCTTCCCACACATATTCTCGCCGCGCCTGCCTTGTGCTGCTCAGAATCCCAAATTCCGCCTCCGGGACCACACTGCGGGCCCGCGAGAGGGGGAAACACACCCATTCAGAGGGTCGCCGGAAGCCCAACCCCGCCCCTCCTCAAGCAGCCAGCGAGACCCACCTTCCTCTTCCTTTAGCAGCTGGGAAATTGGGGGCGTTTATTGCGCCCCAGGAAGAAGGCTTGCAGGCTGAGAAAAAGTCACCTCTGAGGCGCCCTTCTCTCGCTCTCCCTCTTCTCTCACACATGCACGCCTTGAGCCCCTCGCTAGCAGCTGCTAACCCCCTCTGTCCACCTGTCAGCCGGCTCCCGACACCCAAAGCCCCCACTTTCTCCTAAACACTTCCCCTCCCCCTCCATTCGGAGCAGCTCCCCCATGCGGAAATGTTCCTGCCGCACCTACCGACAGGCGCAGCCGCCAGTCAGGAGCCGAGGCGGACGCCCGGTCTGGCCAATGAGACGTGCGGAGGTGGCAAGGGGCGGAGCGTTGCGGCAAGTGGGAGCCCGTCGGAGGTGGGCCCTGAGCAGTACGCGGGAATCCCGCGCGTGGGAGTAGCGTCTACGGTGGGCGCCGGACCAGGGAAGCCTCACCAGTATGTCCCAGTAAGGGAGAGCATCCGAGCACAACTGGTTATTTTTCCAGTTAGTAAAAATGCTCCCGCTGACTACGGACTGAAGAAAGCTCTGCGGATGGCGGAGCTCCCCACCGCAGCTGTCCTGAGGGAACCCAGACGCTTCTCAGAGGATGCTAGCTCTTCTCCTCACGTGTGGTTGGGGGACGGTGAGGATGCGTTAGAGAGTAGGCAGTGGCCTGTGTGGGGCCAACTAACAAAAGAAGGGTTTAGGCATTGAAGAAAGTGACAAGTGAAGGCTACCTCACCGGAACCACCACCATGCCCCTTGCCCCAGTTCCTAATCCTGTAGAGATTTCTGCTGTGTTAGGCGTTTACTTTTCTGATCTACGTGAAACTGGCTTAAGTTACTCCTCAAGAGATGCTTTTCTTTTGGTAGATTCTTGAAGTCCTCAAGGGAAGAGCATGTTACACGGAACTTGACACTAGCCTGGAGACTATTACAGGGCCAGCCCACGGCCTGTCAAATCACACCTGGTAACACTAACCCCACCTGTACCTAAGACTCAGTGTGCCTGGCAGCGAGTGCGTTTCAGACTTTACATTTCCACTTTAAGACTAAATAGCCTGCACCAGGACCAAAGAATTGCCAGCATCTTCTCTTATATGCCTCCAATAAACAAGTACAGTAATTACAGAAGAGTTTGAGGCTTTGGGCAACGCTAATCAACCAAGGTAAAGTGAGAATTTTTTTAATGACTCATTCTGTAAATAAAGGAACTTTAATTTTTTGGTTCCACGTTTTCATATGGAAATGTTATTAGAACAAACAACACAGAAAAGGCTAGTGAAAATTTGTTATACTAGAGAATGACAACCATTGGTACTGTATTTCTTACAGGAAATCCAAAAATATTACACTCGGAAACCTCTCGGCCATAAAACGAATTTTCCCCAAACAAAACCAAAGATGTGTCTAAAATTCAGATGGATATAGTTTAATAACAGCATTTGGAGATTGATGATGTTTACAAAATCTCTACATCCTTTGTGTACAGTACAGAAATTGTTCTAGCACTGAATAAGCAGTCCTTACCAATGAGCATTAGTACCAAAATAAAATACCACCAAAAGATTTTGGCCATATAGGGTTACTTACCCTGCAAAAGATAAAGTTAGAGGACAATGAAGAGTTTTTAATTATACAGGTTTATTATAAGAAAGGATGATTGGTTACTGTATTTTCTGCCTTCACAGAAGATTAAAGAGCAAATGGGTTTTAACTGCAGCAAGAGCATTTATTAATACCTAAGAATGGCGTCTTGATTTATGAATAATTAAATATTGAGATATAGTACCAAAGGTGGTCGTACATTTGCTGCCTCAAGAGCTCTCCAAAAAGTAACTACCCATCTGAGAAGTAGCACTCTAGAGGCCAAATTTCCAAATATTTCCAAACGGTACCTTTTAAAATGAAATTTCTTTATACATCTGTATAAATTTAAATTTTGAACCCACAAACACTTTGTAAAAGAGCTTCCCCACTCTCTCAGCCACTATAAACAACCTCACTTGACAAATCATGTGGAGATAGGAAAAAGAGGTGGAGTTCTTGATGGCCATGGAGAAAGGCATGCTTAGAAGCTTAGAAAGCAGTTACCTATTTCTCTTTATATACTTCAGTCACTGAAAAATTGCTTTCTCTGGGCAAGTGTATGTATCTTTAACCCGTTTTTTCATAAGATACTACTGTGGAATATCCCTTCAAGGTGCATCATGTTGATATCCGTATCATTAGAAATCTGTAACATTGATAGATTTATAGATTATATCTTTGCAGAAATTTGGGGTGGGTGGTTCCAAACAATGAAGATGGAGGCCAATAAGAGTGTGTGCAGGGTTGAGGAGCTGGAGTGAAATGGACTGTGAATCAAAAAGAAGGCTGGAAGCCAGTTTTTGGCTGGTGCCATATGCGACCATCCAAGGATGATATAAATTCTGCCTATAATTTCTTCTTTCTTTCTACTTTCCCATAGAAACTTAAGGAAACAGTTTAATTTACTCAGTCCCATATCCTAGGATATATAACCTCACCATATCTTTTTCCTTTGCTTTAGGCAGGAACTTTCTATCAATAGCAAGGAAACCATGTCTGCTGCCTTATTTCTAAGCATCTTTTTTGGTGCCTTTTTAGATTTAGTGCTTGGCACAGTGTCCAGTACATAGCTAACATTCCATGAGTATATATTGAATGACTAGTTTAGTGCCACTAAATCGTTTTAACTCACAGTGTTGTATTCTACTCTCTACTTTTTTTTTCTTTGAGATAGAGTTTTGCTCTGTCACCCAGGCTGGAGTGCAGTGGCCCGACCTTGGCTCATTGCAGCCTCTGCCTCCTGAGTTTAGGTGATTCTTCTGCCTTAGCCTAGTAGCTGCGATTACAGGTGCCCACCACCATGCCCAGCTAATTTTTGTATTTGAGACAGGGTTTCGCCATGTTGGCCAGGCTGGTCTGGAACTCCTGACCTCAGGTGATCCACCCACCTCAGCCTCCCAAAGTGCTGGATTACAGGCATAAGCCACAGGCCTGGCCCTACTCTCTACTCTTAGAGAGCCATAAAAAAGATAGGTGGTTTATATTTAGAGATAAAGTTTTTTAAGTTTAGTTATGTCCACCTTGGAGGTGAATCTGGGCCAAAGTATAAGAATAATAGCAGCCAATGCTCTGATACTTTACAGTAAGTCGCTAACTACCCATGAGCATTATCTAATAAGGAGTGGTTTTGGAATTGTTAAAGTATGACATAAGTACACAGATCATCAGTGTGTGTGGTCTTTAATTTTTTCATGCCTATCCTACCCTATCCTCTACATCCAAGAAAATAAAGCAGTGCAGTTTGAGCAAACATGTCATAGACATAAAAATTTCTGTGTCATGCCCAAAGTGTTTAGCCAAGAGTCCAGGCAACAATTATCCAATGGACCGTTGCCCATACTCAATATTGGCTCCCATCTGTACCCATCTAAATCCTAGGCCACCCACATGAGAGAGGAAAAATGGGCTACTGTTAGTCAGCAGTTGCCAGTTACTGACTACATCTAACAATAGGGCATTTCACTTGAGTAAAAAGGTAGCCAAACAGGGTTAACTGGAAAAAGATATCAAATTATATCTATGAGATGGACTACTAATGAATGAGTTGTCTAAAAATGAATGGGGTTTCCAAATACTTGAGGAAGAGAAAGACTTCATTCTTTCCTGTTGCCAACACCCTGTTAATGAATCAGGAAATTTGCTGAAACAAGTTGTGAATTTAAATTATAACATATCCTTTCTTTTGTTCACAGCATGATTTTTAAGTTATATTGAGGGTCATGTAACTTTTACATCAGAACAGTAGCAATTATTTCAAATAACTGAGATGCTTTAAAAATGAAGTTAGTTCACATTACGGTTAATTAATGGTTCAGAAGCCAGTCTTCTAAGTGGGCTTAAAAGTCATTAGGGCCCCAAGAATGCAGTTTAATCACAATATGCATTATCTTGTTCATGTTTATCAATAATTCCCCTCTAGATTCTCCTTTGAAAGTTGAAGGAGACAGGTCCTTACTATTTCGTTTTCTGTTTAGTCTGTTCTGCATGTTCCCCAGAGGAGAGTGTTGGTAAGAAATGGTGATACCCATGAAGTTGTATTGCTGTCATGTGGGAAACTGTATCTCCAAATCGTGCCTGCCCCTTTAATTATAGGGGCGGTAGAGCCATTCTTTTTAGTGAGTAGGCCCAGGAATAAACATAAAGAAGCACCCTATATTCTCTAAGGGTTTTTAACAAGTATAGGTTGTTATGTGATTATAGTTTGAAAAGATTAAAAAAACTAATAAGAAATAAACCATCTTTTACCAAAATCATAGATAGAATAAATATTACTTTGATTTACTGTAGTGAAATATGTATAGATGATGAGGTTACTTATTCTTATTGACTTTGAAATCCTCATAGAGAAGAGCTGTGAAAGAGAAAAGCATTCAGTTTAATTCTATTTTTTCTCCCTTTTCAACTATATTAAAGATTCCCTGTTGTGCATTCCATCAAACGACTTTTGATGATTTTCCAAACATCTCTTCCTCTGGTCTAGTTTATTAAATTTCCTGCCAGTGCCACCACTGGGAAGGAAAGGATAAAGAACTTCTGTTTCCTAACTTAGCCTCAGGGAATGTATTTTAAGCATTTCACACCCACCACCCTAACTAAATATTAAAGAGAAGATTCTCGGCTGGACACAGTGACTCACGCCTGTAATCCCAGCACTTTGGGAGCCCAAAAGGTAGGTGGATCACCTAAGGTCAGGAGTTTGAGACCAGCCTGGCTAACATGGTGAAACCTTGTCTCTGCTAAAATACAAAAATTAGCCAAGTGTGGTGGCGGCCATCTGTAATCCTAGCTACTCCAGAGACTGAGGCACGAGAATCACTTGAACCCAGGAGGCAGAGGTTGCAGTGAACTGGCATCGCGCCACTGCACTCCAGCCTGGGGTACAAGAGTGAGACTTTGTCTTGAAAACAAATAAATAAATACATAAAGAGAAGATTCTTAAGACTGCACTTTGAGTGAAGGTTAAATAATTGAATAATTCTATGTCATTAAGTGGATAATATGATTAGATAATAAAAAGCAACTTTTTTTTTCTGTCTAAAACTAAAAAGGAGGAATGTCATACTTAGAGAAAAAACTACAGGAAAAATTATGGAATATTAATGCTAAGTTCTGGTGCAATTTTATTTTATTTT